CCGGCCGTGGCGCAGCCACCTCCTCCCTGCGCGCCCGCCTCGCGTCGGCGTGGGCGACGGAGGAAGCTGGTGAGTGCTGTCGGCGGGTCCCCGGCGCCAGGGGACGCGAGGGGGCTCGAGCCCGCAGCTCCCGCGTGGGCTGGCGCCCTCGTCGCGGCCGGCTTGGCCTGCGAGGTGCTGTGGCGCCGCCTGCGCCCGAGTCGGGCCCGCGGCAAGGCCTCCGCCGCTCCCTCCCGCCCGGGTCCGCGTCCCCTCGGGCCGACCGTGGCCGTGACCCCGCGGTGGCCCCCGCTCGGCCCTGGCTTGGCCTCACCGCCGCGTGAACTCGCCGGCAGGCTGCTCTGCCGGGGCGGCCTGGAAAGGTTTCCCTCTCGCGCCTTCCACCTTCTCGGGGCGACGGGCAGGCGAGAGAACGACTCTCGCGACGCTCTGCTGCGGCCGCGACGCCCTCCTGAGGCCCGAACCAGTGTCCGGGGAGACTCTGGCCCTTGTTCGCCCCTCCGGTCTGTTCTGAACCATTCCTGGGAGTCGGTCAGAGTTTGACGCCCTCTTCGGACTCCATCCCTACGAGAGTCTGGTACAGAGGTGGGGAGGGGAAATGGGAGAGAGGAACAAAACTCTTTTCAGAATTCAGCATAAGCGTCGAATGTCCTTTTAGATAAGTAGCCGCAGAGACTTGTCACCGTAGCAGTGGTGGGAGTGGTCCCGACCTTTCTGGTTTTAACCAGTAAGTTCGTTGAAGGTGCGGAAACAATTATGTTGAAGGTGCCTGAATCGGAAAGGTCACTATAGGACCTGTTAAAACCAAAGCTGTGAGGTGGACTGTGCTCGGCTGCTGGCGCTGGATGGGACAAGGGGGCGTGGTATCGAATCCCCGACGGAAGGGAGTGTGGAGTTAGCATTGTCGCTCTCGGAGACCCGGATTTCTCATTTTGGAATGCCCCACTTTTTCCTGCAGACTCTTCATCCTGCTGATACTGTAAGTCTCCTGTCTTGGCCCTTCCGGAGGCTCTTTTTTTTCCTTTTTCTTAAGAACAGGCGTCTCACTCTGTTGCCCAGGCTGGAGTGCAGTGGCATACTCACGACCCGCTGGGTTCAGATCCTTCCGCCTCAGCCATACAAGCATCTGGAACTACAGGCATGCACCACCACCCGGCTAATTTTTCTTGATTTATTGTAGAGGCAAGGTCTCACCAAGTTACCCAGGCTGGTCTTGAACCCTTGGGCTCAGCCAGTCCTCTCGCCTCGGCCTCCCAAAGTGCTGGGATTACAGGCTTGAGCCACCGCACTCAGCCCAGAGGCTCTTACCCCCCGGGCCTGTCACCCTTCTTTGTCGTCATTTTCAGACCCTTCTCATCTTTTAAACCTGCATACGTTTCAAACGTAGATCAAACTTTAAGTATTTTTTACCAAGGATAGTGTGGCAATACTTCTCGTTTTTAAAATGAAACCAGAAGTTACCTTGAATGTTGATGTGCAGGAAAAGCAGTTTTAATTAGAGCATGGCGAGGATGATGTATTTTTTCCTCCTCGGGAGACACAACCTCCCCACCTACCACCCTCATTCCCCCTCTGCCCTTGTTCGAATTAGAAGCAGGCTTAACTGGTTAGTCTTTCCTGAATTCCAAATTCACTCCTGGGGCCAGTGTAGAGAATTTATCTTATTTTATCCCTTTTTGCCTTTTTCGGTTTTTTTCAAATAGTGTTAAAAACAAAATTCTCATACAGATAGTGAGCATTTGTCAGTTTTGTTTACCTGTTATTGAGAATAACACAAAGAGTTGATTTTAAGAGAACTTAAGGAATAGATATTTATGTAGTTTGTACGAAATGGAACAGTATCAATAATATTGTTAAGTTAGATATAATTGGTTAGTGTTTAACAAAATCGTAATACCGTTGAGATTAATTTTCTCTACCAGGCTATAAAATCATAGCACTTCATTACTTTCTGCAGTTAAACACAAACCTTACAGGATTATAAACTGTCTGCTTGTTTGTTAATAGTGAATTGTTCATTAAATAAATTGTGATAACAGAGTTCTGTCTCTCAGAGTGCACAGATGAGGTTGAGACAGACTTACTAGAAAATGCTAGACCTTTCTAAATTTGGTGTTGAAATTGCGTTTTATAATTACAAGCTCAACTTTTACTGTATAAGGACAGTATTGTCACTTAGATGAAGATTTTCAGAAATAGATGAGCTGAAGAGAGGCTTCAGCCTCCCTGACTGTTTACTGGAGAGCCTTTTCTGAGAAAGTCAGTGGGCAGTGTTATGAGTGAGTCCTAGGAAATGGGGTTCACCTCAGTCAGGGCACCTGGAGGGGTCTAGTGTGGACTAGCAAAAATCCATTCAGAGGGAGTGGGCTGGTCTGCATTTTCTGCTTCTTGAGCTCACCACGGCCTGCTTGTAGTTAACAGTAGGTCAAAGCAGAACCTCTGTGTGAATGTCCTCTGCTGATGCAGGCTGCAGGGCAGCAGGAACTGCATCAGCATGTGCTCAAGATCAAGCCAAGCCCAGCAAGTTCAGATAGGAATTTGGGCCAGGTTCCTGGAGCGCAGCTGGGACTCCTGAGTTACACTGCTTCAATCTGACCTCATTGTCCTCTGCTTCTGGGACACAGCTGGATTTCCTTTAGCTGTCCTGTTTGTTAAATCTATCCTATATCCTGTACTCTCTTTTACTGATTTACATTCTCTGGTGATGTTCAAACTTAGTACCTTCTTGGCAAGAAGCGTTACATTTTTTGTAGCCCTTGCGAGTCTGAATGTTTTGTTGTTGTGTTGCTGTCCTCATACTTGATGGGTATTTTGCCTAGTAATAGACTTTTAGTTTGAAATAATTTTCCTTTAAGAGTTTTGAAGTTATTGCTCCATTGTCATCTTGCATCCAGTTTTGCTGTTGAGATAATTTTTTTCTTTTTTGAGTTGGAGTCTCACTCTGTCGCCCAGACTGGAGTGCAGTGGCTGCTCCCGGCCACTGCAGCCTCGACCTGCTGGGCTCCGGCGATCCTTCCGACTCAGCCTTCCTTCCGAGTAGCGGGAATTACAGGCGCGCGCTACCATGCCCGGCTGATTTTTTGATTTATTGTAGAGATGAGGTGTCGCTGCCCAGGCGGGTCTGGAACCCGCGGGCTCAGGCAATCCACTCACCTCAGCCTCCCAAAGGTGCAGGATTACAGGCTGAGCCACCGAGCCTGGCTTGGAGAAACTTTTAAAAAATATTTTGTTTATTATTTTCTCGCTTCCATTCTCTTTGTAGTCTCTTTTCTGAAATAACTCTTATTTATATGTGAACCTTTTATACTGGTTTTCTAATTTCTTATGTTTTCTTTATTATTATTTTTTGTCCTACTTATTGCTTTATTTATTTATTTATTTGAGTAGCAGTCTCACTCTCGTCCAGGCTGGAGTGTAGTGGCACACTCATGGCCATCTCAGCCTCAACTCTCTGGGCTCAGGTGATCCTTCTGTCTCAGCCTTCCAAGTAGATGAAACTACAGGCACACACCCCCATGCCTGGCTAATTTTTTTTGACTTATTGTAGAGAGGAAGTCTCATCAAGTTGCCCAGACTGGTCTCGAATCCCTGGGCTCAGGCAGTCCTCTTGCCTCTGCCTCCCAAAGTGCTGGGATTACAGGTGTGAGCCACCACGCTCGGCCTTACTGCTTTATTCTTTTTTTTTTGAGTCAAAATCTCACTATGTCTCCTAGGCTGGAGTGCAGTGGCATGCTCACGTTCACCGCAGCCTTGACCTGCTGGTCTCAGGTGGTCCTTCCACCTCAGTTTTCCAAGTAGCTGTAACTACAGGCACGCGCCACCATGCCCAACTTATTTTTTGATTTATTGTAGAGATGAGTTCTTGCCAAATTGCCTGGGCTGGTCTTGAACCCTGGGTTCAGGTGATCCTCTCACCTCGGCCTCCCAAAATATTGGGGTTATAGGTGTGAGCCACCAGGCCCAGCCTGCTTTATTCTCTTTTTTTTTTGAGTTGGAGTCTCTGTTACCCAGACTGGAGTGCAGTGGCACACTTAACGGCTACCCCAGTGTCAACCTGCTGGCTGCTGGTGATCCTTCTGCCTCAGCCTTCCAAGTAGCTGGAACTACAGATGCACGCTACCATACCCAGCTAATTTTTGATTTATTGTAGAGACGAGGTCTTGCCAAGCTGCCTGGGCTGGTCTTGAACCCTCAGCCTCGGGCAATTCACTCGCTTTGGCCTCCCAAAGTACTGGAATTACAGGCTACTTTATTCTAAATTTTTACTTCCCAGTTCTTCTGTTTGGATTTTTTTTTTTTTTGAGTTGGAGTCTCCATCTAGCGCCCAGGCACGCTCATGTGCACCGCAGCCTCAACCTGCTGGGCTCAGGTGATCCTTCCTCCTCAGCCTTCCAGGTAGCTGGAACTATAGGTGTGCACTAACACACCTGGCTACTTTTTGATATGTTGTAGAGATGAGGTCTTGCCCAGTTGCCCAGGCTGGTCTTGAACCCCTGGGCTTAGGCAACCCTCTCATCTCTGCCTCCCAAAGTGCTGGAATTATAGACGTGAGCCACCGTGCACGCCTATTTGGATTATAAGAAAATTTCCACCATCACATTTAAAAATTTTTCAGTCTCTCAATGTTTCTTTTTTAATTGATACATAAATATTTATGAATATTTATGGGGTACATGTGATCTTTTATTACATGTGTAGAATGTGTAATGAATAAATCAGTATTTAGGATGCCTAGCACTATCAGCATTTATCATTTTTATGTGTTGGGAACAAGTTCTTTCTTTTAGTTACCTTGAAATATGTGACAGGAGTTGGAAACATTCATGGAAAAATGGAATTAAATGATAAAAATAGGCTGAGTATGGTAGATCACATCTGTAATCCCAGCACTTGGGGAGGCTGAGAATGATTTGAGGCCAAGAGTTTAGGACTGACCTGGGCAACATAGTGGGTCTCTCTCTCTCTCCAAATAAAAAATTAGCCAGGCGTAGTGGCATATGCCTGTAGTTCAGCTACTTTGGAGGCTGAGATGGGAGGATTGTTTGAGCCCTGGAGTTTGAGACAAGTGA